TGGTCGTATTTTCCTGTGCACGCTTTATATCCATTCCTTAAGCCCCTGTTACACTTCTGACAAAACTACTTGCATAAATAGACATAACAAAACTGATGACACAAATCTTATCTTTACTTTTTTGTGCTTTCACATGAAAATGTTAATAGTGTTGTAACTTGGCAACCGATTTTTAAACTAAAACATAGTTTACACTCAGAAGCCACATGTTGTGCTATCCTTATCGTTTAAGGAGAAAATATGCAAAGAACAATAAATCACATATTCATGGGCGGGTAAACATGAGAGGTATATTTCCTCGCGAACTGATATTTAAGTAAAAGGTAGATTTTACTTTAAACGCACGTTCTATCAATCTTATCACATATATTATGATACGAAGAATGTTTTTTTTTCTTTTTGTAATTCATATACAAAACGAAGGCTTCTGAGAAATGTCTTCAGATTATGGGTTATTAATCTAGAGGTTTTGTAATAAAGCACACGTGTCACGATACATAGCTTACATTGGCCATTTCCTGACCATATTAGGACGCATAAAGATGATTATGAATCTAATTAAGATACTAAAACAACAGTTTACGGACTACAACGCTAAAATATGGGGCTTTATTCTCCGCAATAGACAAAGCGCATACTCCATTGTGTAGCTTTGCGCTAAAAAAAGAGCAAAAGCTAAAAGGTTTATTCGTTTGTAGTTAAGCGCAAGCCTATACAATGGGCTTTATGTTCTGTGCCCATCACAGGTATTGAAATCCGGTTTTCAGCGTTATAATCCTGGGTATGCAATCTAAAAGGACTTGACCTTATCATGGGTGGAGGGACTATCAGTGAAAATGTTGCCGTATTACTGGTCTATCATGGGTGGAGGGACTATCAGTGAAAATGTTGCCGTATTACTGGTTACCAGTAATACCGCAACATTTTCACTGATAGTCCCTCCACCCATACTGCCAAATGAAGTTTGCGTTAGTAAAAACGCTGCCAATTTGTCAACACAAACGGTTAGACGTCGAGATGTGGTCAAAATATACAAGGATGTTCTACTTGACCGTTTTTTAAAGCTGTGACGGGAAACTTTGGCAATTCAGATACAGTCATTTGGTTGAAAGCACACCCACATAACGCGGATGAATCGTTTCCAACAGGCCAGCAAATTCGATCAAATGTCTCATTGGTTCATAGCGTTCATAAGAAGATAGTAAACTTCCTGCTGTGGAGATCTAACGCCTACTTTATCTATTTTATGAGTACAGTTTCTCCATTATATAAATCCAGTAGCTAATAAATCTTCCTAAACGTTTTAGTACTAAACACCTTTTCTGTTTCCATTAGCATACATATGCATGTTTTAAAATCAAAACAACATATAATACAATGTTACATTCAAATACATCCTAATTTAAACTTACATCTGTATCTGTCCCCCGGTACGTCTTCGGATTTACACTGCTAAAATCAGGAGTTCGATTGTCCTCGGTGAACACAGCAGATACTCTGATGTGGCTTTCTTATAGATAAACATACACACACACACACACATATCTGTATCTGTCCCCTGCTGGGACAGCGGTACGTCTTCGGATTTACACTGCTAAAATCAGGGGTTCGATTCTCCTTGGTGAACACAGCAGATACTCTGATGTGGCTTTCTTATAAATAAACATACACACACATACATCTGTATCTAGCGCCATCTGGTCGTTGATATTGTTCTGAAAAAAGATGACCTTCTCGGTATAGGTCCCATGTTTGGAATGTGATATCTTCATGACCAATAGCTGCATCAATAAGTAATCTTCATACCTTATGTTGATCTACAATTCACGTGTAAATCACTCGAATAAACAGTGTAATAAACATATCTGAACATCTGAAAAATGGCTCATTTTCTCACAAACCGGCTGTTAAAAGTCTTATACGTGTCTGATATTTTCACACTTGACCTATTACAGTACCTTCTACTCTGTACAGAACAACCAGAAATATAGGCTTATGAAAAACCGTGAACAGTTTCCCCAAACAATAATATTCTTTGAAGTAATAAGGTGTGAGGTTCTAAGACTTTGTAGCAAAACAATGATAGTTATACTTTAGTAAGTAGAGTGTATTACTGATGATTGAAGATCAAAGCTTGTACAAAAACACGCTGATAGTTATACTTTAGTAAGTAGAGTGTATTACTGATGATTGAAGATCACAGCTTGTACAAAAACACATTGATAGTTATACTTAAGTAAGTATAGTGTATTACTGAAGATTAAAGATCACGGCTTGTACACAAACACGTTGATAGCTATACTTTAGTAAGTAGAGTGTACTACTGATGATTAAAGATCACAGCTTGTACACAAACACGGTGATAGTTATAATTTACCAAGCAGAGTATATTACTGATGATTGAAGATCACGGCTTGTACACAATCACGGTGATAGTTATACTTTACTAAGTATGGTGTATTACTGATGATTTACACAAACACGGTGATAGTAATACTTTACCAAGTAGAGTATATTACTGATGATTGAAGATCACGGCTTGTACACAAACACATTAATAGTTATACTTAAGTAAGTATAGTGTATTACTGATGATTAAAGATCACGGCTTGTACACAAACACATTGATAGTTATACTTAAGTAAGTATAGTGTATTACTGATGATTAAAGATCACGGCTTGTACACAAACACATTGATAGTAATACTTTACCAAGTAGAGTGTACTACTGATGATTAAAGATCACAGCTTGTACACAAACACGTTTATAGTTATACTTTAGTAAGTATGGTGTATTACTGATGATGTACGCAAACACGGGGCCCGGTATGGCCAGGTGGTTAAAGCGCTCGTCTCGCAATCTGAGGGGCGCGGGTTCGAATCCTCATCCCATCAAACATGCTCGCTCTTTCAGCCGTGGGGGTGTTATAATGTGACGGTCAATCCCACTATTCGTTGATAAAAGAGTAGCCCAATAGTTAGCGGTGGGTGATGATGACTAGCTACATTCCCTCTAGTCTTACACTGCTAAATTAGGGACGGATAGCTCAGATAGCCCTCGTGTAGCTTTGCGCGAAATTCAAAACAAACCAAACCAATACACAAACACGGTGATAATTTGAATTGAGTTTAAAGAACACTGACGTAATATAAAAAATTATAAATCACTTCCAAAGCATCATTGACTGATCCATCTCGACTTCATTTTATTTCAAAAGTAGAAACTTACTAAATCACGTGTATTGAGTAAGACGCACGTGAGAAATAGCCTACACTACGGTGGGAATGACATATTCCGTCAGTACGAATAGCAAGTCAAAAATATGAGTTTGGGTTGCTTCAAATATTCAAGCTAGTTTTTTTTTTATTATTTTAGAGTTGGGCCTTGCGTAAAATGTTTGGCGAACGTTGGAATATAATTTTCTGTATACATGTACTCGTCGTTGCATTTAAGCTGTCCATCAGTGCGAATAGTGAAAGAGGGTCCTCATAATTAATGAAGGTATCACGTTCGATATGTAAAAATTATCTATTTCTAGAAGAGTACTTCGAATAAGTCTCTAGCTGTGTAATTAATAATAGTTAGCGACTTGTGGTGATTTGTATTGTCAGTAAAACTGTTATTGGTTGAAAATGGCAAGATTTATTAACGTTTTCGTATAACTCGGTCTACCACGTGGAAAGAAACTGACGTAGCCATGCTGAATTTTTGAAATCACATTTCACGGGACTGTGAAAAGCAGAAATAACAATAATTGTTTTTTTAGTTGTTACTGTTATATCCATAAGACGAAAACCGTTATAAATAGCTGATTTTCGAATTGAAATTCCTTGACTCTGAAAATAACCAAAATTATATATATATTTTTTTTTCGTTTTGTAACAGTTTTTTTAATCACACCTTTGTATAATATTTGCTTTATTTAATTCCACGTAATTCAAACAACGTCTGGTACCCTACTTATCATTCTTATAAGAGTTGATGGAACCCACATTTCTTAGGTTTAGAGGATTTTCATGTCAATTTTTATCGTGTATTTCTACGATTTTTTTTATTCTCCAAATTCCAGTACACAGCATATTCGCTCTGATCATGAAGCCCCCCCCAATGGCACAGCGTCATGTCTGCGGACTTATATCACTAAAAACCGGGTTTCGATACCCGTGGTGGGCAGAGCACAGATAGCTCATTTTGTAGCTTTGTGGTTAACTTCAAACATCAATGTTTTGGTAGTTAGGGCGCTCGACTTGCAACCAGAGGGTCGCAGCTTCGAATCCCCGTCATCAAACATGCTCGCCCTTTCAGTCCTGGGGGAGTTATATTGTTACGGTCAATTCCACTATTCGTAAGTGAAAGAGTAGTCCATGAGTTGGCGGTGGGTGGTGTTGACTAGCTGTCTTCCCTCTAGTCTATCACTGCTAGATTATGGACGGTTAGCGCAGATGACCGTCGTGTAGCTTTGCGGGAAATTCAAAACAAACCAAATCATGAAATATTATGTGAACAATCCCTATCTGGGTATAATAAGTATTATGTAACAAGTGTGACAGTAACAACTAAGTAACGACTGTTTTTCCATGCAGTTTTCGTCAAATATAATCAAAATCAAACGAATGTATGTCTGCGGACTTACAACGCTAGAAACCGGGTTTCGATACCCGTGATGGGCAGTGTACAGATAGCCCATTGTGTAGCTTTGTGCTTAATTATAAACAAACAAACTAGAAATTAGTGTGTTTTAAGCTTTAAAAGGTACTTTTCATGAAAAGCTAAATTGACCACTGATTTCAAGCCTCGAAATATTGAAAACATTTTTCCCCAAAATATAGCATAATATTGGAACTGTAGGTAAAGACTTTGAATGGTCTTGTAAGAATAAGACTCAAGTCGATGAGCTTAACTACTAGATCTTCCTTATTCAGGACTTATACTTAAAAAATGGTTAAAACTGAGATACCTGATTTCACGAAATTAATTTTAAATAAAATGTTTTTCTTACCATTAACAATGTTCTTTGTCGCAAATACAGGACAAGTGGATGGTGGCTGTTCTTGCACTGACCCGAAAGTGGACACGTCACGAGCGACACTGAAAGCTTGTTAAGAGCAGTACTTTAGTCGACGACTCGCTAGACCGAGTACAAATACATTTCACTGCCAGTCTGACCAGGTTGGTGTCTATTTCATAGAACTGCATCGTTAGATTTACACCTTCTCCTCTGAATCAACAGCGCCATCTGGATTATGTCACTTTAATGCCTCTCTCTGGCTCCTGCACGCCTTCTTATCACGAACTTCTGCTTCTAGGAGCATGTTCGAGAAGTTTAGCGTGAAGAAAAGGTTTATTTGTTGGTTTTGTTTTTTTTTTGTTTTTCGGAGAGAGTAGTACTCAATTCTCTCGCCTTTCTGATTTTCTGAATTTGGACAAAACAACCGATAACCGTATAATTTTTTGAAAAACAAAATCAAGTTTTTAGAAAAAAAACAACAATAATAACTGAAAAAAAGAAGTGTTTCAGCAGCAAATTTAAGTAAAATTCATTAGAAATTATTTACAAAGATAAACAAATAAAATGTTATGATTTAGCTGTTGTTAATAACGCATTTTGTTGTGCACATATTTAAAGAAATTTATTTTCACATATGATTACTTCAAGTCCTCCAGTGACTCAGTGGTAAGCTTGAAAGTTCCGGGTTCAAGTCCCATGTTTGGAAGTCAGGAGAAGTATTTGAACTATTGTAAAAGGAGTTTGAAGTTTTGCCCATTTCTTGCAGTGGAAGACAAAGTCTAATTTCTCAACCGATTATACTTTCGTGAAAACCTATACAGAAAAATGTTTTTACTTTGCGCATAAACGCACAATAATTATTTTAAACAAACTAATCACATAACTAAAATATTATAATTCCTGAAATCAGCTACTTTTAACTTCCTAAGCGGTAAGAAAAAGACTGAAAAAATCATTATATTTAGAATAAAAATATACCTTCAGGTACCTACCTCATCTGAAAACAGTTAAGTTGCTAATACAAGAAAAAATTCAAACATCTAATGAACTATTTTCCGTGCATTTACCATCGAAATCTCACGTTATTTAGACATCATGTAACCAAATGTATGTGGAAAAATTAAATACTTTAAAAAACTGAAATTTAAAAATTTGCAAGTGTTGTTCGTGATGCTTAGTTTCCACATTAAAAAGTATCATTATTTACACACACACACACAAAAACGTGTCACAAAATATTTTACATAGAAGCATTTGTTGATTAAGTGGAGTTCGTTAAAAAGATTGAATATATTTGTTGCCTGAAGTTTAAAACCAAGTGTTTCAATTTATGCACGCCCAACATTTATAATAACTGTAACACCTTGAGATTACAGAAAATACAGTGGTTCCAGTTCAAGATTTAATTATGTTTGATACGAAATTTAACGATTATACATGGAAAGCTCCGCCTATTTCGTGAACATCTGTATAGAATGTTATTTTCACTTTGATTCTGCATTATTTGTTGAAACCTCAATCTCATGTGTTTTCTATGGTGATGTTTATGTTGCTTTATGGCGCACCAGCAGACTTTTTATAAAAGAAGAGTGCCACAAAATTGAATAGCCTTTCCTTTACGAACATCTTTTTCAACACTCCACTCAATTCATTAACTTTCAATAGTCTTCGAAAGCCAGACTTTGTTCGCTATTTAAGTGACTTTCAATGCAAAATATTTTCTTTAAAGAAATTTAAAGGTGACAAAATGAAGTAGGTTTGTGACTGTTTATCATAACATGTAGTTTTCAAGTCTTGACGTCACTCATTAGCACTAAATTGAACTGTTTTTATACAAATGATACAATGAAATAACCACACATATACTACAACTTTCTGAACAAGCAGTTTTCAAGTCTAGACGTCACTCATTGTCAGTAAGTTGGACTGTTTTTATACAAATGATACAATGAAATAACCACATATACTACAACTTTCTGAACATGCAGTTTCAAGTCTTGACGTCACTCATTGTCATTGAGTTGGGCTGTTTTTATACAAATGATACAATGAAATAACCACATATACTACAACTTTCTGAACATGCA